GGGGGTGGGGGGGGGGGGGGGGGACTGTGACCATTTTTCTGTGGGACAATCATTTTTTATTGATCATTGTCACATAATGACTTAAAATGGTTTATTTCACTATTTATTTAGATTATAATTAATAATAATTCATTATTTTGATGGATTTTCATAGTTTGATCAAAGTGTGTTACAACAAAATCTATACTTGAAAGGCATTTGAAAGTAACAAAAAAATAAATGAAGGCATTATAAAGATTCCAAGACTGTATCGGTTTTAATGTCCCCTTCATATAACAAAAAGCTGAAACAAAAAAATCTTCAATTATAAATAGATGTCTTCAAAACTTGGCATGAAAGCCACAAAACTCAAATTATGATTTCAAGGTCTGTAGACGTGCATTTGGAGTTTAAAAACTGTTTTTTTGTCTATTATAATTTTTTTTTAGTAAGCCTTCAGCGTCAGAAGCAGAAGGTTCACACGGTGGTCCAGTGAAGTGTAAACATCGTGAAGATGACGATGCTACAAACACTGAGACTCGTGAAGCAAAGAGACTCAAGTTCGAAGAGGAGGAAGATGACAATGAGGAAGGAACGGAGAAAGAGCTGGATGAAAAGCAGTCGCCCTGCACATCGGTAGCAGAGAGCTCATCGGATGTACCGCAGTCCTCAACAGACACAGTCACTGCGGAGGTGAAGGATACTAAACCTGACGAATTCGTCACTGAAGACCAAGGTACAGTGCACTACCAGCAGAACTATGTTGAGAGGATATTGGCATACACATAAAGAGATATTGCTTCTAACATCCTGTATGGACTGAGATTGTGAGTATCAGATCAATTGTAATTGAATCATCTGGACCTTGCCCATTCATTGAAGGTTATTTCTGTTGTCTGGGACTGTCAACTGCTTGTCCCAGGCTGTTTTCACATGTGGTTTGCTTGTTTGGTCCAAACCTGAGTCGCATCCCCCCCAAAGGTCTTTTTAATATCGTATTATGTGACTCATCCACAATGCATTTGTTTTATCAACATGAGTCCCACCACGAGTACTAGAGGCAGCTGTTTACCACTGTAGCTAGGTGACCGTTCAGGGGAACATGCCAAAAATGGAAATTGCTGTTTGGTTCACTTTTTTTCCCTTTGCTGGCAAAAATTAATCCTAACATGCACGGCGAAGGCAATTTCTGCAGACATGAGCAGCAATGAAAAATGCATTATACTATAATAGGCTTCCACATAATAAACCAGATTACTTTCATGCCATTTGCTAACCGTCCTGGAGTTCACATAAACCCTGTCCCACAATCCCATTTTGAAGGTCTGGTACGCAGCCTCATTCAGAAAATGTACTCATCCCCCTCTGCCAGTCAGTCTGGTGTTTAAACTGGAGATTTAGCATGTCTAGATGAAGGCTATATCTGGGTAATCGCAGGCTTTTAAAGCTTTTTTATGTCTAGTCTTTGTTTACTTTGGAGGTCTAAAAGCAGGGAAGTCTCCACTATCTGATGGCTGATGAAGCCAACTTTATTTGTTTTTAACAAATAAAGAGATGCTTGTAATAAATGCTAATGGTCAGAAGAACTACCAACTAACAACTGGGTTGTTAAGAGTATACACATTTTTTATTATTTCTGTTGAACTTCAGTTTTTATAAAGACGTCTCATTTAGTCAAGTGTGTCCAAACTTTTAACTTGGTGTATTTTTTATTATTATTTGTTTTTAACATATTGGACATTCCTCGATGTACAAGGAATGTGGGTGACTGAAAATCATAATAAACCATAGGGTTTGGGTTCAATCAGTGTAAAATAAGCCATTAATATTATTTGTTCTTGTTTTATTTCAACTCGTTTGGTCATGCGAGTAACTGCTGTGCTTATATTTTTATATTTTTGCATATCAGCAGCTGTTTGCATACATTTACGTTTTCTGCTCCTCTCTCTGCAGAACCCTCGAGTACACAGTCAGAGGTCGTAGAAAACAGGGTTGACAAATCCACTTCAGAAGATTCACCCGACCCTTCCCACAATCAGGTGACCGGCAGCGAATCAGATCTACCAGAACAGCGGTCGGAGAGGGAAGAGAGCGCCGAGGCTCAGGAAACGGATGAGAGAAATGACCCAGTCAGCAGTAGCAGCTGCAGCAGCAATAACAGCAGTGACGAGGGAGTGTCCAGTGCAGAGACTGCATCTGCATGTCCCAGCAGTTCCACAGAGCTGACGACAGAGGGCAGTACCACTGCAGAAATCAGTTCAGACAGCTCAGAGACTGCAGATGACACCATGGAGCAAGACTGAAGTTTGGCCGTACATTATTGATTTTTACACTCTACTGTACAAAACCCCAAAAATCACTTATACTGCGAGTTTAGCAGATCCTTTATAGCCCAGGAGAGGAGGGCATTCTGATGACCACTTGTGACACATCTACTCCTTATGACCCTTATTCGGGCATCTTCTCTTAATATGGGCTCTTCTCTGAAGAACAACTAAAAAAAACTGGAAGCTCATCTTTCTGGTGGTTGAGCGGAGCGTTTGCCATTGAGTAACTCGAATGCCTTGTGTCCAATGGCGGTTTTCTGTAATCCTGTTCTAATCATGGGCGTCCATCAACTCCACATCAACACATTCTAAAGCTGTCGGGTAAAACACCTTTCATCTCTCTCCTGCTCTACTAAGAGTGAAAACGTGGCAAATCTTTGGTTTGTGTGAATGTGTGCATATGTTTGTAGGGGTGAGGGGTGTGTGTGCACTTCATTTAGTTTAGTCAACGGATGATCTCAGGGTTCCCGTTGGCCGGCAGACCAGTGTCTAAACATTCCAGGAGAACACCCCTTTCCCCTTATATTGCCTTCTGCATTCATCTGCTGGCTTGTAGCACAAAGTGCTCAATAGCAGCATTAGACCGATTTCCTTTCTTTGCTATTTTTCTTTTATTTTTAGGTCCTTTTATTTTAACTGCCTTCCCAGCATAGCACCGACATGTATTAATCCACTGATGCTGGTAAATAGATTCTAAAATGGACTAATGTGATTTTCCATGCACTAGATGCTCGAGTGCTGTTGGTTGCAATGTGTAACTTAATATAGTGAGCCTGTCTTTTCGACTGACATATTATGCTTAACCACTATTGAGCCATCCTTATTTGTTATAAGATTTTCATTTTGTTTCATCAAACAATGGCAAACAGTTGTAAAAAGGTTAAAATGAGCAACACTGTCAACACCAACATCTCTTAAACTGTACTTTTCATGCTTCCTACAGACATGTATACAGGCTGTTCTACCCATACCTATTTCCACAGCTCCTTTTTGATATGTAGAATTTTTTAATTAGATTTTGTAGATTATAAGTGTTCACTGCTTTTGTGAAAAGTGAAAATTGTATGGTCTCCCATCATGTGAACGGAATGCTTGGGCTTTCAACAGTATTTCTGAAGAGCAATAAATGTTCACATTAAAAGCAGTGATATGCTTAATCTGTGGCAACCGGAGACATTTCTAACATATCTGAATAAAACTCTTTGGAATATCAGGTCATAGACACAATTCATTTTCACCGCAATGTTTAAGTGAAACCTAATATTGCTAGCCATCACATTTAATAAGTGGGTGATGTGCAAGTAATGGGCAGTAAGCGCAAATAAGAGCTAGAATTTCACATAAAATAGATTCGCATCTGTTCTTACATTAAACTATGATGAGTCATTCAATAAAATATTTCAGTACAAACTGCAATGTTAGTGCACCCTCAAGTTCTATAAAGTATTAAGATAGGAAATCTGTGGTTTACTTTAATTCAGCATCACGGTTATGTACTCAAACTACGGTGTCTCACAAATCTCTTTCATACTTAAGTCCCTAAATGACCCACCTCTTGAAATGAGGCAAGATTTCCCATACCAAACCTCACATTATTTTACACCGTAAACTAGTAAAGTGCCCTAAACCACGCAATCCCTTATACTGTAGTCACAGAAAGAAAGGAATTATATAGTCTTGTACTATCTGTGGACATTGTGCCATGTGTCAGCAGCTCCTGAATGGTCATCCAATTGTCAAATATCCTCTTGTTCCTCCTCTTCATCATCTTTTTACGGCTAAGCTGGATAATATCAGGCTCCTTCTTGTCGTCCAGTGCTCCGGCTTGTTCTTTGCTCTCTATGCAGCACTGCTTCAAGAGTTCCCGCCGTTGACGCTGTTCTTTAGCTCGTGCCGCATGCTGTTTGCGCTCCTCCTTGTTCCAGTATCGACCCAGTTTTAGTTCGCTGGCTGCATCGTCATCTGTAGTTGCACTGCAGCGTTCTTCTCGAATGCGCAAAGCTCGCTCCTTCAGAAGCTGGTCCCTGATAGGCCTTTTGGTGATGTACCTTGTTCCATCACTACGGATTTTTACCTTCCACCCCGTCTTGGGCCTGGACTGCGTGGGGGTGGTATCTGCATTCTTGCACAGGCTGGCTAAGCTGACTTGACTCTGGGCATATTCCACAGCTGACTTCTGCTGGATAAGTTGCATGTAGCTTTGGTAATGTTGTGCATGGGCTGGGATGTAGATGTTCTTGTATGAGGAATGACGCAAGGATGTCAAAAGACTCTTCCTTGGGTTCTTTTTCTTACACTTTCTTTTCCCCTGATTTGTAACCTCTGGATCTCCAGGTAAACTCTTGGTAGGGCTGATCTCCTGAATGGGAGAGAGGTTATGTTTGGAGCATGCTGTTGTTGAGTTGCGTCTATGCATGGGAGAACCTTTACCCTTGTCTCCAGCAACCATCCTTTGGGATTCAAGAGAATCTGCTTCCAGAGTAGGATGTAAACTCCAGCAGCTCTCTCCAGTGTTGTAAGCACTAGTAGAGCCTTCGTTGTCCACTTGGTTATTGATGAGGTCCTGATGGACTTGCTCAAAAAAGTGCTTGGCACTAGGTTTTTTGGCTTGCTGATTACCACCTTCAGCCTGAAGCCTGTGTGCTTGCATGATACTCAGGCATTCCAGCTCAATGTTAAGCAACTCCTCATTAAGCATCTGAATCTCCTGGTCATCACAGTCTACATTAACCCCCTTTCCATACAGTGTGGCATTATGCTCCAGAAATCCCTGAAGACTGTTACCATTCACCAGAGATTTAAATTCAAGCAGTTTCCGGAAACGTTCACGTGCCATGCCAGGTATACCAAGGAAGTTTCCACTATCTCCATTGTCAGCCAAAAGGAAGGAGGCATTGCTTAAGTGCATGTCCCCACTTTCGACAGTGTCCTGATTATAGTTGTACTTCTTGTGGTTTTCTGGGAGAGTGTCACAGAGGGAATTCTGGTCATCCCCCAAGATGTCCTGCTCTGAGCTTTCATCATTACGAGTGCTTTCATCTGTGCGGCCTACACCGCTGTCTTTCTCATGCTGGTTGGATAGTAAAGTAGCCGTATCAGTAGTGCCTCCATCTTCTTCATTTGTGCTCTGTTAAATAGAGTGGGAAGAACTTTTAATAGCTTGCAAATCACTTTAATAGTAAGAATAGCTCCTGTAATTGGATGAAGCGAGCAATTCACTGTTGACTTGACCCTTATTAACTTACCTGCTGCAGCATACTTGTAGTGAACTCCTTGACCTTGTGATGTTGCTGCTCCAGTGTGCTCATGTGCAAGTCATCTAAGTTGTTTCTATCCTCCAACCAGCCAACATCCTGCAACCCATACCGAAATGCATTGTCATTCTTTTACTTCAAATATAGATATCCAAAACTGCTACAGAAGGGCCACTTCATGCACAATTTTGGTCCAGTTAGTTGAGGTGTTTAAATTGGGTTTGCAGAAAAGTGGTCCTACAGGAGCAGGATTGGAAACTCCTGAGATAAATCAAATGTAATTGACCAAAATCTTTATCTGCAAGTTCACAGAACAGTTAGCAGACCTGACTTTCTGGTCGAGCCACTAGGAGGGTTACATTCTTACTCTCCACCTTGGTCAGAAGTGTCACTGCCTCCTCATGGCTCTGGATGTCCATTCCATTGATCTTCAGCACGTGAAGAATAAATAAAAAAAGCTTTGTTTTGTTTGAGCCAATATATTCAAAACAAACCCAATAGAATAAATTCTACCTGGATAATCCGGTCTCCTTCCTGGACTCTGCCATCTTTTGCTGCAATTCCTTCTGGAGCAATCTTAAGTAGGGTAAGAACAATGCATTTAGCCTTAACTGTGAATAGACTCGAATACCTAAAGCTACACTAAGCAAGTACTAAACCAAAAATGTAATTGTTGGAAAAACCGCCTTAATAATTACTGTCCTGAGAAATTCCCACTGCAGAACCCTACCTCGCTAATATAAATGGCAGACTTCTCATCATCCGTCTTGTAACATAACTTCAGGCCAAGCTTATCCTGAGTGGTTTTCCTATGCAGATCCACCTCCTATTAAAACACAGGAAATTGATTTTGATGACAAAGATTTAGCATTTTAGTCATTGTTAACATAAGACATAAGCCAAAGCCAGTCTGAGAATTTGTAGTGCTTGCTGCACTTATGTAGATGATGATTAATTTGCATGGTAAATCCACGTGTAATTAAAGTGGTCTTGGCAAAATATTAGCGGGTATATGAAATCTAAATTAAAATGACCTCAGAAGACACACAGATTAAACATGATTTAAACATGCATTGCTCAGGAGAGTGAGTGAATACAGTCTATGCAAACACAATACCACATATTCCAGTCCTCTACTCTCAATGTCTTTCTGTACATCGTCATGGAAGTCAGAGGGGTAAGGTGAGTCACGTCTTGCCATTTGATACCTTCAATACAATGAAAAATTTGCATTAACTGAAGCCGCGTTGACAGAATATCTCATTTTAAAATGAAAATTTCTATTAAGATTCTTTGTTTTGATACATACAGTTGGTGAAAGAAACACTGATAAGCACTTACTGTGAAGGTGAACGGAAACTGTCCAGCAAAGCCATACATGGTGTTGAAGGTGATGTTAACTTGGCCAAAGTCTGTATATGTTTCGAGGTTTTCAGCGTAATGTTGGTCTGAGTACTGTTGTCCATTCCTCGGGCTGGTTTAAGAGTCTTGCAAGTCTTGTGTGCTGTCCTGCGCAGTACCTGAACCTCAATAGGGTCTTTGGCAGTTTGGAAAGCCTCTACTGCTTGATCATGGGTGGCAACAGACATGCTTCTTCCATTTACCTACAGAATAAAGAGTTTGAATAAAATCAGACATGTGGTGGGACAAGAATTTCATGGCAAAAAGTCCACATTAACTACTAACGATAGTATATTGGAACCTTGTAAGTGATATTGTAACTTCTTTTGGGGGTCAGTTTGTGTCTTAACTCAGACAAGAAAGAAACATCATCTCACATTCAACTTTTAATGTTTACATTTGTTAGCATGTAAATATTTGTATGAACATCAAAAGATTTAACTGAGTCATAAACTGAACAATTCACAGACATTTAAATTGACATGACAAGCGGCCAAGTATGGTGACCCATACTCTGAAATTGTGCTCTGCATTTAGCCCATCCAGGTGCACAGACCCACACACACTGAACACACACCCATAGTTGTGAGCAGCTGGTGCCCGGGGAGCAATTGGGTGTTCGGTGCCTTGCTCAAGGGTACCTCAGTTGTAGGTATTGAAGGTGGAAGAGAGTGCTGTACATTCACTCCTCCCACCTACAATTCCTGCTGGTACTAAGAATCGAATCTGTGACCTTTGGGTTAAAAATCCATGACTGGCCCCTATTGATGAACAGAAATGGAATAATGTGTCCCTGAACAAATGGAGGCTAATATCAAAAGTCACAGTAGCCGCTTTTCCACCGAAATTACCTGGAACAATTTGTCCCAGGAACTTTTTACCCCCAGACCTGTTGCTGTCTGAGTTTCCATCGCGGTCTAAAGTACTGTGAAGAATAGGCAAATAGTCTGGTGACAGGTCGCACGTTTCTCAATACCAAGTACGCAAATTTCGGAATTGCATCATTCGGTAGTTCGGACTTTGTGAACTCCCGCGGACGGGACGACGCAAGTCCGGTAATTCTGCAAACAGCAGCGTACTTGATAATGTCAGTCAGCTCGCCTTGGCTACTGCAATTTTCCTCACTGTATTTACAATAAGACGAAATATGATATCAAACATCACTGCCTCCTTTCGTTTTCATTTAAACATTAATAGCCGCAGAAATGTAGTTCATGGAATGTATACAGCCTACATTACAATGAAACAAAATATATCAAACAGTATTGCCTCTTTTTATTTTCATTTTAACATATTAATAGATTAAAGGGATCATATGATGCGATTTCAAGTTTTCCTTTCTCTTTGGAGTGTTACAAGCTGATTGTGCATAGATAAGATCCCTGAAGTTGCAAAGACTAAAGTCTCAAAACCATTTACCCAAAACAAATTATATCTTATGTTTAACCACTAAAGAGATATCAGAGCTGCTCCGTCGGGAAACATGAGCACTGAGCACCCGCTGACCGCGTGGAGCTCACGTCTCCGAAATCGGCGAAACACATTTTTAAATAGGCGCTGTCTTTATAAATAAACCGCAGATTTGAGTTTTAAACAACTACATTCTCACTTGAAATACTTTTAAAACTACATTTCATGACACAATAACAGTAATATTTTGAAAATTATCCGAATAAATGGTGGTTGAAATACAATGCTGCGTGAACTCAACCAATCAGCATGTTTAGCGCCCAAATCCCACCCCGAAAGTTCCAGACCTTTGAAAAAGTAGTACCTCGCGAGCAGGGACTTTCTGAGGGGCAATTTTTTACCCAGAACTTTTTTTTAGATCCTGGTTCCAGTGGTGGGTACCAGCCCAAAGTCCCTAGTTCCTGGGTAAAGTTCCTGCGGTGGAAACGGGGCTAGTGAGTATCTTCTTTGTCCACCAGCTGCTTTAAGTACATCCTCATGAACTGAGCCAGATTTGCTAGTTCTTGCTGTAAGATGTTACTCCACTCTTCCACCAAGCCACTTGCAAGTTCTCAAACATGGGGGACACATGTAGTTTGACACTGCGAGGATGATCAGCTGCCCTTCCTGTCGAACTGTAGAACGAGGCATCTTATATGGCAAACAGTGCATTTTATTGCTCTGGTCACATCTGCAATAATTGTTTATGGTTAATTGAACAAGCATGAAAAACACTGTTTAAACCCTTTCCAATGAATATTTGAAAAGTGTATTTGGATTTTACAATTATCTTTAAAATGTAGTATCCTAAATAAAGGATGTTGCCTTTTTTGATTAAATTTATGTGTGTATAAAATTAAATACAAAGTACTCCAATATGCATTTTCCCTGGGATTCGAACCCATAACATTGACATTGCTTTTACATGCTCCACCAGTCGAGAAGACTTTGCATTCTATACGACAGGGGTGCCCAAACTCGGTCCTGGAGGGCCGGTGTCCTGCAGAGGTTAGCTCCAACCCCAATTAGACACACCTGAACCAGCTAATCAAGCTTTTTTTAGGCATACTAGAAACTTCCTGGCAGGTGTGTTGAGGCAAGTTGGAGCTAAACTCTGCTGGACATTGGCCCTCCAGGACTGAGTTTGGGCACCCCTGTTCTAAAGTTTTCACTAACTTTTATTACATTGGTGCGTAATCATCCTGTTCGTTCTTATTAGCGTGATTAAAGTGGAAGATCAGCTGACCTGCTTGAGATGGGTATGCTGCCTGCTGCCCAGGGTAGTTTATGCCTGTCTGGTCCATATGAGGACTAGAATAATGCGGGGGTGAGTAGTCTTTCTCCATTATCAAAAACCTGTGGATGCAAAAACATAAAGACGAGGAATTGGAAAATAGACGTACGTTTCTTTATATTCGTCATGTAATTTTCTCTCTTTCCTAATCTTGTTCTGCTGATTTTTCTATCGCTATAGTACATGCCACAAACGGCACACACTGTATATATTATCATGATAGCACTGACTTATCAATGCAAAGATCAATAACATATCCCTTTATGTACTTGACATATAACAAAAGCATAACCTTCACTTTAATGGAAAAATTGTGTGCACAACACGTACCTGTGAGTCCCTGTATGCGTTGTGTTGCTTCTCCTCTCAATGTACAGCAGGATCTGGATGGCTGTGAGCGAGAGGGCGTGGACAGCAGGCTACAGTCATAAATGTGGGCATAAAACTACAGACGAGATAACAGTGACACTTACTGCATAGACAGGGTTATCTTTACATCAGTTGTGACCAACCTGCCTGTTTTCCAAGACAAGGAGAGAAAGAAAGCATCATTATCATGCTTACCAAGTTATTTTTCCACTTGTTTACATACTTCCTTTTAATGTTAGAGCAAATTTTGTCAGACTTGTGATTTAGATGGCACTGTCCATGAACAGGTTACATAATCGGGCCTATTTGCTAGTTCTTGCTGTAAGATGTTACTCCACTCTTCCACCAAGCCACTTGCAAGTTCTCAAACATGGGGGACACATGTAGTTTGACACTGCGAGGATGATCAGCTGCCCTTCCTGTCGAACTGTAGAACGAGGCATCTTATATGGCAAACAGTGCATTTTATTGCTCTGGTCACATCTGCAATAATTGTTTATGGTTAATTGAACAAGCATGAAAAACACTGTTTAAACCCTTTCCAATGAATATTTGAAAAGTGTATTTGGATTTTACAATTATCTTTAAAATGTAGTATCCTAAATAAAGGATGTTGCCTTTTTTGATTAAATTTATGTGTGTATAAAATTAAATACAAAGTACTCCAATATGCATTTTCCCTGGGATTCGAACCCATAACATTGACATTGCTTTTACATGCTCCACCAGTCGAGAAGACTTTGCATTCTATACGACAGGGGTGCCCAAACTCGGTCCTGGAGGGCCGGTGTCCTGCAGAGTTTAGCTCCAACCCCAATTAGACACACCTGAACCAGCTAATCAAGCTTTTTTTAGGCATACTAGAAACTTCCTGGCAGGTGTGTTGAGGCAAGTTGGAGCTAAACTCTGCTGAACATTGGCCCTCCAGGACCGAGTTTGGGCACCCCTGCTATACGAGATCTGTTTTTGCAAGGTTCACTTCACATTATACAGTGGTCTTCAACAGGTTGTAGATCTACATAATCTAAGGAGTAAAACTCTTCTATATACTTCTATGAAATGCAAACCAAGCATTGATATTTTTGAAAATACACTTAAAATGTCACTTTAATTGTATGCATTGTCGTCCCAACTCTGCAATGAATACCGAACTTGAGTGCCATGTGTGGCTGGCTGTACATTAACCTTAAAACCAGATCTGAGGTCAAAATCCAAAAACATGCTGATTTCTGAGGAGGGGATTCAGTATTCCTGGTAATGCATAGCAGGTGGGACATCTGAGGACTGTTTTACACAACAAATATTTTTTTTAAATCATGTGTAATAAAAATCCTCTGGTATAAATCTGAATATTAAAACTATAAACAAACAGGTGTATGGTACAGAAAGACAAAGCAGGTATAATGCAATCTATTCAACTCTGTTAATTCAGTTACTAGGCTTATAAATATTTCTAGCTGACTGCATGGAGTGAGAAACATATATAGACACATAAAAACAGAACCTGCAAGATACAAGTTAATGATTTGGTGACCAAGAATGAAAGACTCAAGGTAAATGCTGTCATATGAAACACTGACTTTTTGACCTAAAAACTGTTAATTTGGCTAAACATTGCAAAGCCATTCCTCAATGAGCAAGGACAAATTCACAGAGATATTTATGACCGGAAGCTCGGTTTTAACATTATCACACAGTTAGTGAGATTTCATTAATTGATTGAAGTCCAACAGGGTGTGTAAAAGCTTTTGAATTGCACAAGGAAATGGCTATGTGCCAGTAAGCTAATGGGAGAGAACTTCATTTATCAAAGCGCTGTAAGACTCAAATCTCAAAGCTAATGTCCTCAGGGACCTCGACTCAATCTGCTGTCTGTTCTGGAATCTTGCAGTGGCAATAACACACATGGGAACTTTGTCAGTGTGCCCATTCATGTGTGAACTGACAAACTACTTTAAATTCACTCACTCACACTGTTTCTCTTATGCCTTTTGGCACACAGGGCAGAAAATGTACTGCATATACTTTGAGTTTAATTCAAGGAGACATCCTTTGCCTGACTACAACTACTTTTAAAGTTGCATTAAAGCA